TTCGTTTTCCCAAAACACAATTGCCAGGCCATATTTTGAATGCCCAGAGCCAACTGTAGACCACTTCGTGTTCTTCGTGTTCCCAGGACACCATTCCCGGGCTAATTTTGAATGCCCAGAGCCAACTGTAGGCCACTTCGTGTTCTTCGTGTTCCCAGAACACCACTCCTGCACCATATTTTGATTGCCCGGAGCCAACTGCAGGCCACTTCGCAATCTTCGTGTTCCCAGAACACCAGTCCTGTGCCATAGTTTGAATGCCCGAGCTGAGGCAGGCTGAGGCCGAGGCAGGCTGAGGCCGAGGCAGGCTGAGGCTGAGGCTGAGGCACGCCGAGGCAGGCTGAGGCTGAGGCTGAGGCAGGCTGAGGCTGAGGCTGACGCAGGCTGAGGCTGAGGCTGAGGCAGGCTGAGGCTGAGACAGGCTGAGGCTGAGGCTGAGGCAGGCTGAGGCTGAGGCTGAGGCCGAGGCAGGCTGATGCAGGCTGAGGCTGAGGCCGAGGCAGGCTAAGGCTAAGGCTGAGGCTGATGCTGTGGCAGGCTGAGGCTGAGACAGGCAGAGGCTGAGGCTGAGGCAGGCTGAGGCTGAGGCAGGCTGAGGCTGAGGCCGAGGCAGGTTCAGGCCGAGACAGGCTGAGGCTGAGACTGAGGCTGAGGCTGAGGATGAGACCGAGGCAGGCCGAAGCTGAGACAAGGTCAGGCTGAATGGGGGGGAGGGAAGGGGGGGGGAGGAGGGGAGGCTGAGGCAGGCTGAGGCCGAGGCAGGCTGAGGCCGAGGCAGGCTGAGGCTGAGGATGAGGCAAGCCGAGGCAGGCTGAGGCTGAGGCTGAGGCTGAGGCTGAGGCAGGCTGAGGCTGAGGCAGGCTGAGGCTGAGGCTGACGCAGGCTGAGGCCGAGGCAGGCTGAGGCGGAGGCTGAGGCAGGCTGGGGCTGAGGCCGAGGCAGGCTGAGGCTGAGGCTGAGGCAAGCCGAGGCAGGCTGAGGCTGAGGCTGAAACTGATGCAGGTTGAGGCATCCGTAGGAATCCATAGCAAGCCTTAGGAATCCGTAGGCATCCTTAGGAATCCGTAGGCATAGTTAAGCATCCTCAGGGCTCCTTGGGAATCCTTAGGATTCCAATGGATCCTAGGGCCGTTGCCACTGCGACTGTCATTGCGAATGCGACTGCGACTGCGAGAACAGCAGAATTCTACAACTGGGTTCTCACCTGAATCCTAAGGGGAATGCTTCCAGATATGCTTATACACATCGCTGTTAGGTTGCTTTGCCGGGATAATGTGGCTCTTGGGCGCCTTTTGGGCTGTCTTGAAGTCCTCTTGGGCCGTTTTGGGGCCCTCTTGGAGGCCTCTGGTGTGAAGTTTTGGGGCGGTCCTGGGGGCCTCTAGGGCCGCCTGGGAGCGTCGGGAAGCCGAAAAGGCGAGAACGCCAACATCCTTCAAACACCGAAGGGAAATCAATGATTCTGGCCCCTTGGGGCCCTCTCGGGGGGCCTCTTGGAGGCATCTTTCGGCGTCTCGGAGGCCTCTTGGGCCGTCTGGGGGCCATCTTGCGCGTCTTGCAGCGATCGTTCGGTGCCTCGGGCCCCTCTTCGGTCATCTCGGGGGCTTCTTGGGGCCCTCTCGGCCCGTTTCTTGAGGCCCTCCTGGGCCCGAGAGGTTCTGCGACAGCACCTCCTGGAGCCCAGGGGGGCGCGCGGGCAGCCCCGGGGGGGGGCGCGCCAGGCCCTGGGAGATCTGAGAGCGCGGGGTCCACGTGCTGTGAAGAACCCTCTTGAGTGAGGAGGAGGAGGAGGAGGAGGAGGAGGAGGAGGAGGAGGAGGAGGAGGAGGAATCAGAGAGAGCACCTGAGGACGCGCCCGCTCCGTGCCCAGCGGCACGTTGGCGGATCTGTGTCGGGCGTTGTTGGATCGCCACTGTTTCCTGGTACGCTTGCACCCGTAGGCGTCCCCGGCCAGTCCCACTGCACTCGCGACCCGAGAAGCCTCGTCCAAGCGTTCTGGCAGGGATATGAACTCCTCGCCCGCTTCGCTTGCCCTTTCGCCCTCCTCCGATCACCCTTCTGCCCCCTCCATGAATGTTGTTCTTCCCCAGCGCCAGGGCTCGCGGATATTCTGCGCCCTCGCTCCACATCTTGGGGCTCTCCCCGCCCATTTGCATCCCCATTCTCCCCCCCCTCTTCGCATCCCCTCCCGTGCGCCACCTCGCCTCCGTTCTCTTTCTTCACCAAGCCATCTCATCATCGCCCTCCTGCGCCTCCTGCTCATCCTCCTCCCGTCCTCCTGCCCTCACCCTCTGCAAGCCCTCGTCTACCCCCCATCCCTCTCCAAGCTCTCCTTTCTCCCCTTGTCCCGCTCTCTGCTCCTCCTTCCCGCCCTCTCCCAGGGGAGGAGGAGGAGGGGAAAGAGGAGGAGGAGGAGGAGGAGGAGAAGGAGGAGGAGGAGGACAAGGAGGAGGAGGAGGAGGAGGCGGAGGCGGAGGAGGAGGAGGAGGAGGAGAAGGAGGAGGAGGAGGAGGAGAAGGAGGAGGAGGAGGCGGAGGCGGAGGCGGAGGAGGAGGAGGAGGAGGCGGAGGCGGAGAAGGAGGCGGAGGCGGAGGTGGAGGCGGAGGCGGAGGCGGAGGCGGAGGAGGAGGAGGAGGAGGAGGAGAGGGAGGGAGGGAGGGAGGGAGGGAGGGAGGGATTTCCAGGATTTCCGCCATCACGTAGTGATATTACACAAGCCGCCCTCTGAGCTCGAAAGCGAAGACGCCGAACCAGAGGAGGAAGGACAGGTACCAACAGAAACTTATGAATATTGCCCAGAAGCAGAAGCCGACCCATACACGACCTGATAACAGCAATACCACGAGAAAACTGCCATGCCGGCCCAAATACAAATAAAACCTGAAGCTGTGCCGCCGAGTTGACACCACATTGACATAACCAGTGGCTAAGCGGAAGTGAGTTTGACTCTATAAGGCCCTAGCCGTGGATCACTGGGCTAACTCTCGCAATGAAGGAAGGAGCTCGCCTCACCCACAGACCACCTCGCCCCAGCCGAACAACGGAAGTGCCACTGACAGCAGAAGCCCCAGACTGCAACGCTTGCAAACATCATAACGCTTGCAATACAACCCAGATCAGGATACAGAAGCATACAAAACTGTCAGAAGAGATGGTACGCCCAGGCCGCGGGGTGAAGGGCTTAAGTGGGCTCGCAGCCCCCGTGCCTCCAACCTAACCCACGGCATGGGACGGAACTTCGGGAAGATGAGTGGCAGATGTATGCCCAGGCCGAGGGGTGGAGGGCTTAGATGGGCTCGAAGCCCGCGTGCCTCCAACCCAACCCCAGCCCTGGCTCGGAACTTGCAGAAAACTCCCGTGAACACTGACCATACCCAGAGCAGCCCAAATGGAAGTACCCTCCAGCTCGTTCTGCCTTAACCATGGCCCTGTAAGGTTCAGTAAGGACAACTGCATATTGCCAACTCGAAGACCTTGCCAAAACCAGCCCTTCTGGAGAAGGCACCACGTCGCGAAACGGCGTCATGATACCCTCCATATTGTTATGCCTTCGCCCAAGGCCCCAATAAAACTGCATGCGTAGCCGATGAACCCACTGCCTGAGACGGGACTTCACGTAGCCGAAGAGGTACGCCCAGGCCGAGGGGTGAAGGGCTTAGATGGGCGCGAAGCCCGCGTGCCTCCAACCCAACCCTCGGCCTGGGACGGACGTTGAAATTGATGTTCACGAGGAACCCAAAACACCAATCTTGCAAAACTCGTCGACCGAAAACTTTGCACTGTACTAGCAAACCGCACGAATGTAACAACTGTTGTGTCGCAGTCAAGCGGTGCCCCTCAAGCACCACGGGGAGGTTCAGTGCAGGACAGGGAGCATGCCGAGATGAGCCAAACACTGGTTCTACTGCGCTCCGCGCCCCTGAGCTTGAGGGGAGGGATGGAGGGAGGGAGAGAGGGTGGAGGGAGGAGGGAGGAGGGAGGAGGGACGGGAGGGACGGGAGGGAGAGAGGGAGGGAGGGAGGGAGGGAGGGAGGGAGGAGAAGGAGGAGGAGGAGAGAGGAGGAGGAGCGGAGGGAGGAGGGAGGAGGAGGAGGGAGGAGGAGGAGCAGGAGGAGGGGAGGAGGAGAGGAGGAGGAGGAGAGGGAGGAGGGAGGAGGGCAGAGGAGGAGGGAGGAGGAGGAGAGGAGGGAGGAGGGAGGAGGGAGGAGGAGGAGGAGGAGGAGGAGGAGGAGGAGGAGGAGGAGGAGGAGGAAGAGGCGGAGGAGGACCATGTCCATGGCCCGCTCCTCCCTGGCACCCGGCGGTGCGCCACAGTAGGGGGAGGCGGACGGTCCTCGGTTCTCGGGCGTTCTCGTCGGCTCTCGGCGGTTTGCCGGCGCAGGGACGCTCTCCCGCAGCTGCCCCTTTCTGGGGCGCTCGGGGGTGCCCGGGTCGTCCCGACCGTCCGCTGGAGGTCCGAGCTGTGACCCGCAAGACACCAGCAGAGGCCGAGGAGTCTTCGCAGCCTGCTCCGAAGACGGGGTCGGCTTCTCAGAAGTCCGGAGGGCTCCCGAGAAGCCCCGCCACCGCCTGAGGAATGCCGGGCCCCCCTCACTTCCTTCCCCAGTGCTGGCCGCCAAGGCAAGGCTTGCGCCGCACGCCTCACGCGGACGCTCTCCGAGCGATCGGGGCCACTTCCGACCCTAGCATGTTGGACGGCAGCGGCTTCAGTGACGAGTCCTCGAATGTGGGAAGGCAGGGAGGCAAACTGTTGTAAGCGCCGATGCCCGACGTGGAGGAAGCCTGTCATTGTCAGGAGTGGAAACACCACAGACACAACTAATCGCCGATTCCAAGGGGAGTATGGGAAAATATGGGAAGTGGGAGGGGAAACGAAATTCCATTACATATGGTGAAATATTGTGAATCCTGGGACTAGTGTGTATTTATGTGTGTGTCCCTGGGCCCCTTCATACATTAGCTGCGCATTACGATACCATTGGCCCCTCCCACATGCCCTGTCACCCGGAGTGGCTCCCCGCCTCTTTTCGAGCCGCAATCCATCGCCTTCGGGAATTTGGGCTCGAGCGCGTTGCGCGCATGTCTTGGCCAAGGGGGTTATCGGATCGACCCTCCGCTTGAACCTATACATACGCAGCCTACTTTACATACGAACAACGTACTGAGCGCAGCAAGCCCGCCATGGTCAGAAAGGCGCTCGACGTGGACCCGGCCGTCCTCTCTGTCGAGAAAGGCCCGGCCGCAGCAACACAGTGGGCTGCCTGGAGGAGAGACGAAGGGAGGCAAGGTGGAGGGAGGAGCAGGAGGATGCAGGAGGCACGACCGCCTACGAGCCGATTCGCTGCGATTTGATGCGCCGATTCGCTGCGACCGCGATCCCGATGCGTTTCGATGCGCTCCGAGTCGCCGGCATCGGCCAGGGCCAGCAGGAGCCGGGCGCGGCGCTCCCACTTCGAGTCGAGTGGGGGCGATGCGTCGGCGACCCGATCCGCTCCCGACCTGATCGGACTCCGCGGTTCGATCCCGACCAAGCCCGCGAGAACGGCCGAGAAGCGAGGGGAGGGAGGGAGGACGAGGATCAGAGGAGTGGGGCCTGTGGGCGTGGGCCACCCCCGAGGCTGCCCCCGAGCCTCCCGCGGGCTGGCCCCGGAACGCGTGGTTGCCACGGTGCCGCCCAAGGGCCGTGCCATCCTCCTCCTCCTCCTCCTTCTCCTCCTTCTCCTCGTCCTCCTCATCCTCATCCTCGCCCTCCCTCCCCCTCCTCCCTCTTCCTCCTCCTCATCCTCTTCCGCCTCCTCCTCCTCCTCCTCCTCCTCCTCCTCCTCATTCTGCCACTCCTCCTTCTCCTCCTCGTCCTCCTCCTCCTCTTCCTCCTCCTCATGCTCCTCCTCCACCCCCTTTCTTCTCCCTCTCCTCCTTCTCCTTCTCCTCCTGCTTCTTCTCCTCCTCCTCCTCCTCTTCCTCCTCCTCCCCATCCTCCCTCCTCTCCTCCTCCTCCTCCTCCTCCACCTCCTCCTCCTCCTCCTCCTCATCGACCTTGGGGACGTGCTGGGGGACGTGCTTGGCATCGACAATCTCGAGGGAGTGGAGCTCAGCGAATCGGACCGCCTTATCCCAGAAGGCTTTGTCACTACGCTCAAGACCAGTATCAAAGAGCAGACAAAGGCCTTGTTGGCTACAGCAATCGAAAAGGCTTCCGCCATCAAGGGTGAACACGCTGAGCTTCTCACCATATTGGCAAAGAAGAAACGAAAGACTGAGGGATGACCAACGGCAGGTGGGGGCTCCGAGGGACCTAAGTCTGGGGAGGCGGCGGCTGCGGGGCCACCCCTTGTCCCTGAAAGTGCCAGTCCCCCCTGCTCCCGAGGCCTCTCCCCCTTCCACTGGATCTGCGGGTGTGGCCCCCGCTCCCAGGGATGCTTCAGCACTCACGTCCAGGGCCGCAGAGATCGGCAAGTCCTCAAGTGAGGGCGGCGGAGCAAAGTGTTCCTAGTGGGGCTGTAAGCCCAGATGCTTGTCTTGCACCAGTTGCAGGAAGCAGTCTTTTTGGGGAGCGCTGGCTTCGTTAGTCTTTCGAGCACGCCAAATTTTTACACCCAGCTCCTCGGAGCCCTGCCTGCAAGACAGAGGTCCAAACAGTTCCCTAGGTGTTGTTGTAGGCCCCACTTGTTCGGCTCCCAGCGGGACCGGTTTTGTTCAGTCCTCGGTGGTTGGAACCCCAGGGTCCGCGGGGTTTTCTTTAGTTGCCACGGCCGACGTCACTGGCTGGGGCTCGGGCCAGGTGTGGCTCACTCAGACCACCGCCACCGCTGTTCTTCTGCAGGAGCACCATCAGAAGTCTCCTGAAAACCTCGCGCAAGCCACGGCCTGGGCCCTCCGACACGGGTGGCGATCTCTTTGGATGGCGGCCCTTCTTGGGGAAAATGGCGGCTCTCGTGGAGGCACGACGATTCTGGTCTGCTCGTTCTTTGGGCTTCATTCATTGGGAAAGACAGGTCTCCATGAAGGCAGGGCTCGAGGATGAGTAGTGCAGCTTCCAGGTGGCGCCAGTATCGCGGCATGCAGTATCTATCTGTTGCGCGGAATTGGACTGTCTGGGCCCGACGTATCTGTGCTGCGCAACGCGGGTGAGTTCGTAACGTCTTCTGGTTTGCCATGGGCCATCGGAGGCGACTTGAATTTCGAACCAACGTCCCTACACGACAGCGGCTTCCTACTGGCCCCACCTGTTCTGACGTGCTTCACTACGGGAGGCATGCGATTGAATGAATATTTTGTAGCCAGCCGCGGGCTCAGCCAGACGGTGAAATCGATCAACTTGGATGGGGGGCCGGATCTCACCCCCCACACCCCGCCCCTCCTTACGATGTTCCCTCAGATCGCCCCCCTGGGAGCCATGGCTTTCCAGAGGCCGCCTCGGATTCGCCTCGATCGTCTACCCGTGCTCGAGCCTCCCAATTATGATCCAGTGAGGGCTGATCATAATGAGGTGTTGGGACAAGGCAGACGGGGAAAGGGCAAGGCTACGCAGGATGGTCTCAACCACGCTTACAAGGCTTGGGCGGACAAGGCTGACGTTGAGCTTTGTAGAGTTGCCGACGTTGAACTCCCTCGCACGGTCCTCAGGGGGCTCCAGCCTAAACTCGTTGGGACAAATCTTTTCGAGGCTGACATGAGTGGAGCTCGCCGCCCCGACCTCTACTCCATTCGCTGGCTCCACTCGAAATTCCATAGCGTTGTTTCGGCTCTCCAGGGGTTGGCGGAGTCGGGTCCCCATGGTGGCGCGGTCGCGCGCAGCGACATCGGTTTCTGTTGTCAGGCGTTTGCCTCGGGGGGGCCGGAGAGGCCCGCTCGGCGCGCCTCGCAGTCGTCACAATTTGTCGGACATCAGGTCCAGCAGGGGGGGGGGGGGCGGCCACTCCCTGCGCCCTGCTCGTGTCAGGACGGGCGCTTCTTGCTGCCCCGATGCAGGTGCCGCGAGGGCAAGGCGAGCAACGCGCCCTTTTTGACGAGGCCCTTGCCCTCGCACGCGCGCCCCTCGGAGACGACTCCGCTGTGCAAGCTGAGGAGTTGGCCGAGCGTAATTCTGGCAGCGTGGAGTCGGCGACCGCGATTCCCGGGCAGAGAGGCCGCGAAGCTTGGAGCGAGTGGTTTAAAAAAAAAGGCGATCGAAAAGGGGGCTAAGAGAGTGCACGTGGACACCTCCACTCCTGAGGCCTGGGCGGCCACGGCGGTTTTGGCGGACGACCTCGCAGTGGTCTCCGGCCTTATCTCGGTTCTGTCTAGCGAGGCCAGTCGCTTCAAAGCTTTGCGGGGAGCGGGCGCGCAGCCCCCCCCCCGAGGTTTCCGATTTCATCACCGCTCCTGACATCGATTTCCCCAGGGTTTCGGACGTGAGAGAATTCAGCAAAAGATGCAGAATTGGTTCGGCGGTCAGCACCGATGTTTTTTTTTTTGGTTTTCACATGCGGCAGTTTAGCTGGCTGTCTGACCAGGCGCTCAAGACCCTCCTGGCAATTTTTAATGCGATGGAAGTTTCGAGCCGCATTCCTGCCCAGGTCCACTTGGTCGCGGCCATGCTGCTTCCGAAACCTGTGGGGGGTTTCGCCCCATTGGGGATGATTGTGGCCCGTTTCGGCTTTGGGGGAGGGCCCGTAGACCGCTGGCGGTCGAGCGGGGGCGGGCCCGCCCTAGGCCCTGGCGCGGCTGGGAGGTGCACGGGCGCGTCTGACACGGCGTGGCGGCAAACTCGTCTCAGCGAAGCAGGGGCTGCTGCTGGCCAAGTTGCAGCCACGCTGTTGCGGGGTTTCTATAAGTACTACGAGACTCTGTTTATCGAGCAAGTGCTCGATAGATGCTTCAAGTTAGGGTTTCCAATGTTGGTGGCCAGGTTGGCGTGGTAAGGTTATCGTGGTCCCCGTCATGTCAGTCTGTAGGGCATTATGCGTGCTCCCGTGTATGCCTTGAGGGGTGTTGTGGCAGGATGCCCTTTCGCCACTACCTTTATCCGTGTCACCTCCCTTGAAGGTCTGGGCGCCATCACCTGGCGCCCCTTCGTGCGCTACAGTCTTAATATTGACGACCATGGCATTCATGCGGTTGGCTGCTATCAGGATGTCCTCACTGGGGCGATCCAAGGATCCCAGCAGCTGGCGCGAGTGATCAGCGGGGATATCGGCGCCTCGTTGTCGGAAGACAACGCGGCCCTTTTGGTTCCCAACAAGGCCCTGGGAAAGGGCACCCATGATGTTTTGGGCCCTGCTTTGACGGGGCCGATCGTGCAAGCTGCTGTCAACCATGGGGTTGACGATTCGGCTGGGCTTCCTCAAAGGCACCGTGGAAAGCACAAAAGCCAAGCAGCGTGAGATTTCGTTGGCGGCTAGATCCCGACGATTTGGCAACGTGGTCAGGTTCTGTCGGGGGGGGGGGCTAGAAACGCGCGGGTGGCTGGCCCCCTTCCTGCGGCCACGCATTGGGCCGATTCTTTTGGAGTTTCTGACGCGGAAGTTTTCTCCTTGAGTCGTTCCTTCGCGTCTGTTTTACAGCCCTCGGCCGGTGATAGAAGGCTGTCCATCATGCCCCTGCCCGAGCAGGGCCCCGCCTGGATGGCCCAGGCGGCCCCGATCATTAGATGGCGCAGGGAAGTTTGGAATACCCAGCTCGGGGTTCATCTTTCTACGTTTCCTTTTCAGCTTCGGGACTGCTGGGGGCACATGTCTGGGGAGCGTCTCCGAACTTGGTGTAGTGTTTCTGGCCCTGGGTCCGCGATGCGAAAATCTATTGAGCACCTGGGATGGCAACTGCCAAATTTCTGCACCTTGATCACGGATCGAGGCTATGAAATTTCGATGGTCCTACAGTCTCCAGCGATGCTCTGCTTGCAGTTGCGCGATGCCGTGTTCCGCATGCTTGATTGAGCTCGGCGTCGGGGTCAAGCATCACTTTCCCTGCAGAGCTTGTTTCGATGTGGTGATGAAGCACCTTGCGTCGAGGCGATTTTCGCCCCTGGAGAGGGAACCCTGAGAGCGGCGAGCACTGGTGCGATTTGGAGTAGGTTGTACGCCACCAGTCGAGGATGCTAGCATTCGGACCTGTGTCCATTGGGATGTGGGTGTAGATTAACGGAAGTGTCCGAAACTGGCTGGTCTTCGTTCTGATGTTGTCGATCAGGAAGTGCCGGATGGAATCGATCATTTCGCGACCGACAGATCCTTGCTTTTCGCTGTCACTCGG